TTTATTTTGGGGGATTGATTGCGAGTCTCTCACCGATTAGTTGTCAGGCGGTAAGCACAAACAAAATATCTAAATGTCTGTTCTCAGAGTTGAGAATTTAATGTGTAAAGTTTTATGCAGTGACAGATTTGTTTTGAAATTGATGCCTTGCTGAGACCTGGTTTTTAAAACCCTAATTTCACCAAAATCATTTAGTCACACCTGACTGCAAAAGGAACACTTCCTAACTTTTTGCATCAGTACATAGCTGAAACATTATCTACTCCTCATCATCATCATCATCAGTTCCGCTTCCCCGTTTGGAGATTGGGGCCAACAAGGAAAAGTTGAAATCACTTATTGGCCTTCCTATAGCTCCTTCCATTGATGCCAAAGCAAAAAAGAAAAATGCTAACAATTATTCGCCAGGAAACAAAACCATTTACACACCGTTTTCATTCAAGGGCAGTATTTTAGATATATTTTCTGAAACACCAACTCTTAAGCCGCGTTTATAAACGGTTCCAACTTTTTTTAAAAAGTTGCCTACAGCGCCTCCCATACTTTTAAAAAATTGTGGGAGGCGCTGTAGTGCAGTCGTGTTATTCTTGGGAGCAATAGGTCTAAACTGAGGGGGATTTTCGTTGTGTAGTTTATCGCCCTCAACGAAAAGACGCATCCGACCACTTTCGACACTTTCATGGTTCACTCTTTTTCGCCTCACCGTAGAGTGCTGACTCGACGAGGGTGATTTTCCAACCTGTTGCGAGCCACAAACCCTTTGCACACAAGACCCCACGATCGACAATTCCCGCGAAGAACTGAAGTGATGCCAGCAACAAAGAACGGAATTGTTTAATATTATTCACCTTTCTGTACATGGTTCGCACAGTTTCGTTGGTAAACAATCGCCAAACTTAATTTCTTACCCAGTTAAAAACTCAAGCACTTTTAAAATTTCCGGCTCTTTGCTGCTTTTCTCGCCGAAAATGTCAACCGAGGTTTCTAAAAAAAAAACGTTTGTTTGCAACAGCCACATGTGTTGAATCATGAGTTAAACAATATGGATAATTTTTTCCCAAATCCTCCATGTCCTCCATTTTAAACACCGCCGGTCACAGCTCTTTCATATTTTTGCGCCAATCAATTCTTTGTTTTCAAACAGCCAATCAAAAAAGTTCGAATTAATTCGAAAATCCTATGTCCCCAGAGCCCTTCGATTCTTTTGCCAAGGCCCCGCCGGCTAAGAGAAGCAAAAAGGGCTATGGGGACGAGAATGGTTCATTCTGACCAACACGATCTCCTCCTCAAATGAAGTATAATTATCATTTGTCATATACGTACAAATGAAGTGTAATCCTTCAATGCAAATGACCGTGATGTCCTGGACATGGACCCGCTTTCGCGCGCCTTTAGAATTCAGCTGCGATCGATCGCTTCGATTTCTTCTTGGTTTCTCTCCTTTTAGTATAGCGGCTCACAGTTGTTATTATGTCTTCGAATTCACAAGAAGGTAAGAATTAAGTGATTTTTTCATGTTTAAATGATTCTATTTAAAGCCCTTTACAATCGGTTTGAATATTCATAACCTCCAACTACATTTGCATACTGTGAGGAATTGTAAATTCATAAGCTTAAGCTTTGTAAACTAGCTAGCGTAAAATGAAATATAAAGCAAGCCGGTCCCAGAGGTTTTCTATTATTGTTCCTTCTGCTCACATGAAAACTCCGTCGCGGCTTCGAAACGAAGGAGAGAAATGAGAAGAAGAGATTTTCTCGTTCATCGCTGCCAAAGGTATTCGTTTTCGCCGCTTAATGCTCACATTCAGGCCTACAAGATTTAGAAAACAGAAAACATCTTGAACCACTGTGCCTCTTAAATTAAGCTTGAGCGTAAACATGTAGCAGATCGTAGATAAGCTTTAAGGTAGAAAAATAAACATTGAAGAAAACTTACTCCAATGAAGCAAACATGACCAATTCTTGATTTCTGTTTCGATACCCTGTACATGTACATCGACATTTCTACAGGGCAGCTTAAGGTCTATCACATTTGATTTGTGGAGCTACTCCATAATTTCCCATCAAATTATTTCCAAAATGAAGGGCAAAGACTGTCGATCTGAGTTCAGTTTTTAAGTAACCTTACTGGCAAATGAAACATGATTTTTCAATTTACTGAAAAATTGTACTTATTTTATCAAAAATTGGTTTGACAGTGCACTTATCATCTGTTGCATGTTTTATTTACCAGTAGTTCTTAAATAAAGGTTACCTAAAAGTATAACTTTACAGGCTTGAGTCCCCAGTGTACCAAAAACTTGTTGGGGTGATGTTGTTGATAACTAGTGAACTTCTGGTCAGAAATAATGACAGTTTTGTTGTGTAGTTCACTTTCCTTCTCTCATTAAGTATTTGTGACTACTAATTACCAATTAAACAAATTGTCTTTAGTTTAATCTATTTTGTTGGAGCGCTGTTCCAGAAAAACAGTTGACCACAGCTACATCGGTCCGTGTGTCCTTCGTCCAGTTCATTTTTAATTTAGAACGAAGATGAAATTTAGCCTTTCTCTTTTTGTTTTTTTATCAATTCGTCTCGGTTTTTTGAAACTAGATTACCATATTGTAGAAAAACACTGATATTTAAAATGCTAGATTTAAAATATTGCTTTATTTAACACTATTTTGCCATTTCATATGAGTAAAAAATAGATCATCGTTACAAGAAATCAATCTGCCTTTAGAAACAAATATTGAAAAATCGATTCTATTTTCAATTTTATTTCAAGTCGAAAATCGGAAATTCATTAAGCGAAATAACAAATTTAAAATTGATTCAATTTTCAATTTTGTATGCAAAATACAAAATTTAAAATTGATCGCACGGACCCAGAACAAAGGCTGACGCAATAGGGGTAGGCTATGTTGCTCTTTTGCTTACCCGTACTGGGCTACCTCCCACCAGGTCCGCCAGCCTGCTTGAGGAGTCTCGGACTTCGCGCTCTCTTCGACTGCCACTTCGCGGTCTTTTACGACATTTGAGAACGTTTTGTGTCTTTTCGTCTCTTAGTTCTGTCCATTACGGCGAGCAACGATACTTTCGACGTTAGCAAAGAAGGAAAAAATGTTAGACTTCGTATCAGAGCGGGTGATGTAGCCATATCGATTTTTCCTCCAGCTTTTCAGGCGCCTTATTGTAAAAAGGGATTGGATTGGATTGGATTGGATTGGATTGGATTTGTTAAACGAGGGATTGGACTTGTAAAAGGAACTTGGTACAAATCAAAGACAAGCTTGGAAGCGGGACGTTTGGGTCTGTTCATTTGGCAGATTTCAAATTAACTGATGTGCAGACTGTGCAATACAATGGTGTTTTCAAGAAGTCGAGAACTGAGTGAATTAACAGGATAAAGTGACACTTTGAGAAGGAAGCTGGAATTCTGAACAGTGTTAAAGGCAATAGAAATATCTTTGGGTTGCTCAGATTTGTCTGTTGCCTTATGCCGCCTTCGTGATGGAGTACTCGTGTTTCGACTTTGATGTTTGGCTGGTTAGTTTCTCTCTAAAGAGAGATTGAAATGTCCTTTTTCTTGATACCAGTTAATATAACAATTTCCCCTTTAGGAAGATGTTAAAATAGGACACAAAACGCTTTCCTTTGATGTGGGATGCGTTTCGGGCCAGTTGAAGGTTCATTTCGCATAAGGCATGATAAATTATAACCTGTGCAAGTATATGTACAATTGTGCTCGGCAGATAGTCTAAGAAACGGGGAGATCATTTTAGATTTTGAACCAGGTTCGAAAAGGAAACTTTCTGTTTTGCTGACGTTGTGTTCAAGTTAATGTTAAGCATGACTACAAGACTATAGAGGTGACGCCAATTGATGTAACTTTATATTCAGAAATAAAAACATGTTCCTGGTTTTTAAACGAACTGCATGTATGTAAACAAAGCCCTACACTTAAAAGCAAATGCAAACCTTGGGCATCCAACGAACACACGGAAAGGAAGCGTGAAGTTGCAAGCATTAAAGAGTTCAGGTTAATGTAAATGAGAGAGAATAAAACAAAATGATTTGTTTTTTTGCAATTTAGGAAGGAGGGTTTAACGGTCGCAGCATGATTAAGCTACAACCATAATCATTCATTTAATCATTCGTTATATAGTCCACAATTTGGGCCATTTGTCGTCAAGTAATAGCATATTGGGTGCTTTTTGGTCAAATATCGGACTCTCGTTCGCATTTATCTACTGAAATCCCACTTGCACATTTATGTGAAATAGTCTACAGTTTAGGTCATTTGCCGTCAAATAATAGAATATTGGGTGCATTTTGGTGAAATATCGGACCCTCTTTCGCGTTAATCTACTGAAATACCACTTGCACGTTTGTGTGAAATAGTCTTCAGCTTGGGTCATTTGCCGTCAAATAATAGAATATTGGGTGCATTTTGGTGAAATATCGGACCCTTGTTCTCATTCATCTACTGAAATCCCACTTGCACATTTGTGTGAAATAGTCTACAGTTTGGGTCATTTGCCGTCAAGTAATAGCATATTGGGCGCATTGTTGTAAAATATCGGACCTTCGTTCGCATTTATTTACTAAAATCCCACTTGCACATTTGTGTGAAATGGTCTACAGTTTAGGTCATTTGCCGTCATTTAATATCATTTCGGGTGTTGTGGTAAAATATCGGACCTTCGTTCGCATTTATCTAATGTAATCCCATGTGCACATTTGTGTGAAACAATTAATAGTCCACAATTTGCGTCATTTGTCGTCAAGTAATAGCATATTGGGTACATTTTGGTCAAATATCGGACCCTCGTTCGCATTTATCTACTGAAATCCCACCAGCACATTTGTATGAAATAGTCTACAGTTTGAATCATTTGCCGTCATTTAATTTCATTTCGGGTGTTGTGGTAAAACATCGGACCTTCGTGACAAATGGTAAGTAAGTACCCCGGGCTTCTGAAGCGCTTTACGCACTGGGAACCATTAAAACGTTTCCTGTTCGCTTGGCGTCTATGACATCATTCATCAAATATAACGAACATTCCTTGTTGTTGAATGTTCCTTGAATTTGTCATCTAAAGGAACTCCTATTTCAATTTTAAGCTTCTTTAAAGAAAATGAATGCTTTTCTTGGTTGTGTTACTCGATGGATGTTGGCCACGTTTTGGCTTTTTGGAGCACTGCAGCAATCTGGTAAGCTTCGTAATGAAAAATATTTTAAATTCGTTTATTCAGGCAATTCTCTGCTAGATACAGTTGAAATTGGCGTCTAATTTCCACTGAGGATGTTGTTTTCTGTGTGATGTGATTTCAGAATCAGCGATCGTGTGTCAAGACAAACCTGACGATCCTAAAATCGTGGTGCTAGGAGTCAACAGCAATGCAGTGTCTCTCAACTGGAAAACTTGCGGCGCTAATGCTGGCGAAACTATTACCGACTTTGCTTTCTTCAGACAGAGACCTGGTAGTCTTGCAAGAGAACAAATAGCATCACGTCGCGCCACTGAAGGAGGCTTTACTATGATAGCGCCCTTCCAAGATAAGAAAAAGTATGACGCCCGT